CTTAGCAGTGTTTTACTCAACTTATATGGTACAGACAGTACTGGAAAACAAAACAAAATAATTTGGTACATTACGGCAGTGTTAAAAGAAAAGTAATTTTTAAATGAGCTCTGTTTATTAGAAGGATGACAGTTTCGAGTAATCAAGAAAAACGATGAATATGATTATATGAAGAAAGGACGTCTCTATTTCTGAAAAAAAAGAAAAAAAAGAGAGAAGAAAAAGTTATTTTTGTCAAATAAAACAGTAACAATAATTTTTGTATTGTAAACTTGGCAAACCTTCTCCTGCAGATAGCTGCTATGTTAATGTTTTAGGTTTTATAATACAGAAAATTTCTCCTTTCCGTTATCCTTTTTTTTCGTTAGTCAAAAGTCACCTCTGCAAATAAGATTTGTCTTACAAATATAATTAATAGTTGCATTTTTCCACAAATCGAATTACTCAAAAATGTTTCATATGCTAAGAAAAGCAACCATAAAATTCATATATTATAAATGCTGTTGTTTCTTTTTCTTCTTCTTCTTCAAAAAAATTCTTGCCACCTAATTTTTTCCTCACTCATTTAATAGTAGTAATCATAATTTTTTAATGTTTTTATTTCAACCATAAACATTTGCATAATCACACACCATCACACTCCAACAATTTAGCTTTTCTGGTCAGCAAACTTCAACCCATATTGTGAATCGCTCAAATAAACTTTAATTCATTTTGCCTTTTCCGTTTTTCTCGCAAAAAGATAACAACAATTAACATTATACTTTCTACTAAAGCATATAATATGTAAAAACATAGAAAAAAAAGGCTCTTAAAAGCTTTGACAAAAAAAATCATAAAGAAATTAAAAAAAAAAGGGTATTTCAAACCATATAATAATTGGAAGTGAAAGATTGTGGTTTTGAGAAGGAAACATAACCGAGTTTTCAACCACTAAAGTCTATGTACGAAAAGCATTAAATAAATTTTCTTTAATGCTATTAGATGTTGCCTAAAAACAATATTATTTACTTCATTTTCCACTAATTTACCACACTTAACTCAATTCACAAGTAATATTACTCAATTACTTCTTCTATCGTTATCAGTTTTATTTTGCATTAAGGAATTTTCTTGCCTAAATGATACTAAATGCCGTTAACTTCATCAATTCCTCATCACCGACAGTGAAATAAACCACTGATTTCTAAATTCAATTTATCAGCCGGGTAATCCAGGTTTACCCTCGTCGATATGATATTTCACTTAAGCGCATCTGCCCAATGACAACTCATCAACTGGATCCTTTTTCGGGCACAAAAAGCACCGTTGATGGTTCGCAGAAACGTCCATAACAATGTGACAGAAACTTATGTTTCAAAAATAACAATACAAAGGTACATTCATGAGAGTCCCATTGTTAAATGAAGAACCAAGTGATGTTGAAGTGAAAAAGATCTGACCCGCAATTATTTTCTTTTTCAGCAAAAACTGAAAATAACGTAACAATTACGTAGGAGAATTGTATCCAAAAAAGTACTCATAAATTGTCAAGTTTTATTAACTCATTTATCGCTAAATCAGTGTTTAATCTTATCTAAGTGAATGGTTTTCAAAATGTGAAAAACATATTACGCATAGCTCTTTGCAATCATTACCAATCAAGATGTTAATATTCCAGTTTAATGATCTGATACTCCAATTTCATAAATTTCTACACCCTTCATGAAAAGCATAAAAATAAAAATAATTTTGGTACCAGTAATATTCTGAGGTGAACTGAAAGTGGGACTATGAAACTAAGAAATAATTCAGTGTTATAAATGCGCCTATAAATCAAAAAGTTTATTGCGGTGCTCAGCGAGTAAGACCTCCCTAACAATAATAGTAATAGTAGTAATAGTAGTAATAATAATTATAATTACAATAATAATTGTAATAGTAATAGTAATAATAGTCATAGTAACAGTAGTAATAGTAACAGTAATAATAATAAAATAAACACTGTAATCATAACAGTTTGGTCAATAACAGTGCTACTTATTTCTTTCATTCAACTCATCAAATTCTACAAACGTCATCATATGCTCATAATTGTCGTCAAACGAAAGAAGAAAAAAAGAGAAACAAGAAAACCATTGATACATTAAAGCAACCAAGGGTCATAATATTACGAAAATGTCACTTTTTTTT